GCATCATGTCTAAACAGTGGGAACAAGGCTAGGACCCGTGAGATGAAAGCCCGGCCTTGAGGTATAATGCGCATGGCAAAGTTCAGTGACCCAAGTAGAGACTGCAATTCTTTGCGATTGCAAGTACCGAGGTGTATGTAGAGGTTAATGTTGGTGAGAATGTTCTCTATCTTGGTGCGTGGCAGGCTGGCTTGCATGGTGGCTGAGTCTAGCATGATTCCCAGAAAGGTGATGACTGTATCTGGTCCTTCAGTTTTGGTGGGGGAGACTGGAACACCCACCTGTTTAAAAAGACTGATGGTTTCTATGAGGCTACTGGGAGGGGAAGTGTTCTCTTCGATCAGTAAGAAATCATCCAGGTAGTGTATAACTGTAGGGCATCTGGCTACATTTAATAATAACCAGCATAATGTTTCGGCGAATACGTCGAAAATGGCCGGACTACTTTTTGAACCAAACGTTAGGCGTGAGAAAAAGTAGTAGTGCCCGGCCCACTTAATGCCATGCAAGTGCCATAGTGTAGGGTGGATAGGCAATAATTTGAAGGCATTTGTAATGTCAGTCTTGCTGAGCCATGCTCCGACCCCTGCCTGCATGATAGCTGTAATGGCGTGATCTATGGTGGAGTATTGAAGTGAAAATTCCTCAGAGGGGATAAGGGAGTTCAGACTAGGTGAGGCAGAGGTGTGAGGTGCAGACAGATCGATGATAAGTCTTTGTTTGTGGGAAGATTTCCCTGTGACAATACCGATGGGGTTTGTCCGCCATGAGGAAAAAGGAGGGGACTGAAAGGGTCCCAATAGGAAGCCCTCTGCCACTTCTTTGGCTATGAGTGTGCTAACCGCTGTAGGGTTTTGTTGTGCAGATTGTAAATTAGGACATTCAAGGATTCCTGAAGGCATGTGTATGAGACCAGTATGGAATCCTTGTGATAGACCAGTGATGATGAAGTCTACCAAATGTCTAGATGGATGTTGTGACAGTAATGCCGTGAGTACAGAAATATTTATCTCAGTTAAGTATTGCTTAGGGTACATTTTATTTGGACACATGGTTTTCGCATGTGCCCTAAAACATTTTGAACATATATACAATAACCGACAACCGCTGTAATTACATGCACCGACATTGAAATTATTACATATTTGGGACTTCCCCAAAAACTTGATAGGTCGACCCAGTTTGTCTTTGGGTGTTCTCTCTGCCGAAACAGCGGAGCTAGTGCCCTGCGAGGTGGTAGGTTCGTTCGCAGTGGTCGGACAAAAATTGGCAGTATGAGTCATGGAGGAGCAGTGTGCACAGGCCGGTGCTCGTATCAATCTTACTCCAGTTGGACCTTGTCCCGTACTGTGAGAAGGCGCCAGACACTTTGGCAGAAAAGGATCTATGGTAGTCATAGAAAGCTGACCCACCATATTTGTTGCCCAGATCAACCAGCCTGTGCATATATAAGTCAAACTCCTCACGTCTGTGGGGATATACCGTACAGATCACATCCCGATAAATGCCAAAAGCTAATACAAATTCTGGAATGGTTAGCTTCCTATTTAATCGTGCATCCCTAGATTTGACCACCACAGAAATATCGTCATAAGCGTAGGTCTTATGTTCCACTATATCCTGGGAGGCAATTAGTAGTGAGGCCAGATTGACATCTTTACCTTCCAGGATATCTCTCCTGAGGTGCTCAGGAATCATGTGGGCAGGGTAAACCTCTTGGTCATCCGAGGTGATAGCTGGAGAAACTGATTGCGACTCCACCACTGATGGGAGAATTTCCGTGGGTGGTCCAGCCATAGTGAGGGCTGTAGTGACCGATTCAAGTTTCTCCAGCCTAGAATTGACCTTGCTCATGGATGCCATGAGGGACGTGAGCATGTCATGTATGTTTCCTGGGTTGGACTGGCTCGACCCTTCCCCAGCGTCCATGTTATCGGTTGAGGTGTGTAGTAATTTGTAAAGTTCCGCTTTCCTTGCTGTTGCTGGAAAAGGGATTTGTCGTCTCCTGAGTTCGCTAGTGATGCGAGGGATAGTCCATGATCTGAAAGATGCTGGACTAGCCGTATCTTCCTCCTGTGATGGGGTGTTTGTTCTAGCCGGACTGGCAGGCTAATTATGCCGGATAGGCGAAAAATTAAAAACTTGTTCTTTGGTGACAGGTGAGGCCCTGCTAGTTGCCAAGTGGCTATGAGAGGCTCTATCTATGCGTTGGCGCGAGGGGTTATTTGAGGCCACCCGACATAGTGGCAGGAATTCGTAGGCCTCTCGGTGACAATACAAGAAAACAGGGGAGCACCCTCTCTATAATTGCGAGGCGGCTAACTCACGTGTGGCCCGGGGGGCATTACCTCCGAAACGTTGAGGCGGGGTGTTGGCCTCGCGGACCACTAAACGATAGGCAGAATGCCCGGAGGGGGGATACCTATTTGGGCCTATAACCCCTAAAATTTGCCAGTACTCTATGTCCTAAGTAGAGGAGGAACCATATGTGATGTATGGCGTGAGCAGGCTTCACGTACCTGGTAGTATGTATGAGTTTGAATAAGCGATAGGTAAAGAAAACTGGAAAAACCTAAAGGGATAGAAAACCAGATATGATAGTGTGAGAATTGGATCCTATGATACCAATTT